GGGATTTGTTTTTCACATGATGGTGTTCGACTCATGATTAAAGCTTCACTCTGAATCTGTCTTTAAATGTAGAGCCCACTTTGTAAAATCAGCTGAGTGACATCATTCCACACAGTCCACATCAGTTTAATAATTGTCGAATTATAGAACAAATTACATGCAAAACAGTCAGTTGAAAACTGAAACGTGTGGCTTTTTTGTTTTTATTTTATGATGTTAAAAAAGAGACATTTCAATTTAAGAATATGTGCAGCAGATTTAATATGACAGTGTATCTAAAATGACATTATTAATGCAGTCAGTTTGTGAATATTTACATGAAAACTTTGCTCTACAAAAGTGAGCCAAAAGGATGTGCAACATAATCGTTCTCATGACTGCTGTGACAGCAGCAAACATCAAATATATAAGCAGTATGCAGTGCATAAAGTTGATCCACATGTGTAATTTTTTACTTACCAATTCAATAAAAAAAAAGAAAAAAACGTGTCATGTCTTTTCATACTTCATGTTTTTTTTTTCTAGTAAAAATCATATTTGAAAAATCTGGAAATGTTTCATTCACAAATTATTTGTTATTGTAGTTATTGTTCTTACTGGTTTTTTAGATGAAACATTTCTTTTCTTGAAACCAGAAATCCTTTTAGGTGCATCAGCTCACAGCTGCTTTACAGTATGTTGGCCTCACAGGAGCCGGGCTGCAGAATCTGCAGAGTCAAAGTGAGTTTTATGGCCTTTCTGAACCAGGGGTAAAAGAGTACATAGATCAAAGGATTTACAAATGAGTTGAAATAAGACAGAAAGAAAAAAAATGCATATGAAGAACTGGACAAATTGACCTCAATAAAAGAGTAGCAATAAAAGGGACAGAAACACATTAGATATATAATGACAAGAATACCAAGAGTCCTGGCTGCTTTCAGCTCAGATTTCTTTGCCAGATTGCGTGAATTCTGGATGGTGGCGTCTGTGGTGTGAGAGCGCATGGCCCGAGCCTGAGAAAGAGCCACCATAAACACCCTCATATACAAAATTACAATGACAGTAATGGCAACGATAAAGTTCAG